TGATCCTCCGACCCCATCTGCCCGGACCCAGCCTGGGAGGCCTGGGCCCCCTCCATCCCTCGCTCCCGCTCCTACTCCCCCCATTAGTGTTGCATCCTCCTTTGAGCCTAACCATGATGATTCAAGGGAGGGTCTCAGAAAGTTCGGGGTTCGGGGGATAGTGAATCTCTCGTCCCAGCAACTCGTGTGTACGATGATATGTTTGGCATGGTGTAGCGATACCCCAGGGGGGGGGAGGAGTTTCTGCGTGATGGTGGGAAAAGTTAGAGTCCCTCGTGCGTGGCTATTGTCCTCGGGAGGGCTGGTGCTCGAGGCTTTCGCGCGCCACTCGCTCCGGCATTCGATTCGTACTTTCCCCGGCGATGAGATCGGCCTCGCCGTCCTTTGCCCCGAGCAACTTTGTCTTGGCCCGGGATAGTCAACTCTGAAGGGGAAAGGGGGGGTATACCTTCTTATCCAGGGTTCTCGGTTATCCCCCCCAAACGTTGCCCCAGGGGGGCAACATCAACGTGGAATCGGCGATACATCGCAGATAGATCGGCGGTAGGCCCTGGGCACCCGATCTCGAATCCGCACGTTCCTGGGCTGGATGGATCATCGGGCCCCTTGTCGGCGATCGATGGGCGATTGGGGATCGATACGCCCAATGCGCCCCCGCCTGAGCGCGTTTCCCCCCTTAACCAAGGGCTCCCAGCTTCGCGCTTCGCGCTGCGCGAAGCGCGAAGTGTGAATAACTTCGCGCTCTCGCGCCGCCACTCAGGGGAGAAGAGGAGGATGAGGAATCGGAGCCGAACCGCGAAGCGCGAAGCGCGAATAACTTCGCGCCCTCGAGGGCGCCCTTGCTTAACGTTGCCTCCAGGTCTTCGGCCATAACTGTGGACTCCGGCGCCATTCGGGGCGATCTGGGCATCCCCTCCAAGCATCCCCAGGCTGAAAACCGCCCGGAGCAAACGAAAACCGCGGAGAACAAGTGAAATCTAGAGACGTTCCCCCTCCTCGTCCCCGCAGAGAGGAGGCATCCCTCTCTCGCACCTCCTGCCTCCTGCCTATTGCTTCCTGCTTCCTCGTGGCCTTGGGCCTCGGCCGTGCAACAGCATCGCGCGCTCTCGCGCGGGAAATGGCGGCGCCCTCTGGAGGCGTGGACGGCCACGCGCCGTGCGACTTCCGGGGCCCAGGGTGCGCGAGCTACGGTTGGGAACTTCTTCTTACTGTGTCACGGCGGCGGCCCCTGCAACATGCTATGCCGTGCGAAATTATCGCATATCTCTCCGCCCCGCGGGGCTGGAGGCTGGGAGAAGCTCGCGACGTTGACGCCTGGACACCAGGGCGTGGATGCCGTGTTGCGCCGACGCGTGTCGGGGCGACACGCTCAGCAAATGTTCTGACCGTATGCCCACATACACCAGACTGGGTTGGACCACTCACGGGCCCAAGCTTGCTCGTGCGCCTCTGACGCACAAGCGGGAAACGTTTGGCCCAAGACGCCATGGCCATCGTTGTTGCGATCAGGTGAGTCTGGACCACCTTGTCCAGACAAGGCCAGGGGAAGGCGCACTTCCATGCGAAATCCATCATAAAGGGATCAAGCACAACTCTTCTGCAAGGCTTCGGACTGTCCCATTGTTACGTACTGAATGTGGACCAAACTGGCGTTGCGCTTCGCTACGAGGCGTGAACCGTGATAACCTTGCGCCAGCAAAATTGAAGGCAAAAGCCTCCTGAAAACCCACCTCCAAGACCTCTCCTGGGATGCGTTCTGGCCAGAATCTCGAAGGGAATCCAGCCTTGTCCACAAGGTCGCCCCCTAATGCCTAAAAAGACACGAACGCTTGAAGCATGAAGGGTCCTAGATCTTTGACGATCAAGGGGAAATGGGGGTGCGCAAGGCGTGCTCATCTTCCCCCCCTCGACGCTGACCTGCACGAATGGCCGCACCCCCCCCCCCGATCCCCGTGCCGAGCGCTAGTCTCCAGGCGTACTGGCTGGCGCAGTCGCAGGCCATCTGCTGCCCCTGCGCGTACGTCTTGCACAGCTCTTTGTCGTCTTTGCCCCCCGTCGACTTGCCCAGAGTCTTCGCGTTCTGCCTGCAAGTATCGTCCTCCGCAGAGGAGCCCTGAGGAAAGGCAGCCCTCGAGGCAACGAGCAGGAAGAAGAGTGGCACCCGAGTCGAGCACGTCGGTCAGCAAAATTTGCTCCGTCTCCGCCCCCTCAGCCCACCCTCCTCTACCAGCACAGCAATGGAAGTTCGGTAAAAGCGCTGTCCCGGCCGACCATGCCCCATAGCCCAGGCACTCATACGCAAATAGACATCACTCAACTGTGGTCATCCGCCCGTCTATCTTGCTCCAGCTCCTCCTCCTCCTCCTCGTCTTACTACTCCTGCTCCTGCTCACCTCTCCTCCTCCGATGCCGACAGTCGCGGCGACAATGACGGCGGCGCTGACGGTGACGTCGACGACGACGACGACCTAGACATCCGACCAACTCCTGTCTTCATACGAAATGTGCGGCTCCCCGTCGTCACATCCCCCCTTCCATCCACCCGATGAGACATAACCAGCCAAGAGCTCATCCCTATCCCTAAGATTGACGAGGTCAAAGGAAATGACAAGTTTAGAGGTGCGCCGTCAGAAACTGAGGTGCGCCGTCAGAAACTGAGGGGCCCCGTAAGAGCGGCATGAAGATAAGGTGATGTCAGTCATAGGGATGTGGATGCGGTTCAGGCTGATCGAAGACCAGCGCGACGACCCCCCACACGGTGAGGCGAAGCAGCGCAGAGCAATACACAAGAGTCGGGGAGTGTCGTGGACAAGGTCGAGCCAGATAGATCTGAAACGACGGATGGGCACACGCCACAGCCAGGGATAGCCAGGGACAGGGCAGAGCCGAGATGATAGATGGAGACGGAGTGCAGGCATCAGGGTCGGGGACGGACGGGGGGATATCAGGGCTGGGGCGAAGAACCAGGCAGCGACGGACGGCAATCACATGTTGCGCACGGGCCTGAACTCTCGACGCTAGCGCTCTTCGCAAGGGGGGGGGGGGGGCGAGGGCGGGGAACGCGAGGGTTTGGGGAGCCCTCCAGGGCCCCGGATCAGGCAATGCTTGGGGGAAACGGGAAACCACTAGACATTAGCAGTGACGACGATCCGTCGACACTACAACATTCAGACTTGCACGCAAGCCGCGGCCGTGTCCTTACCGCATACGCCCTTTGAGCAGGCCACGTAGCTCTTGAAGCAGGTCTTGGCAGGCATGCCTGGCTCGAGCGGACACTCTGCAGGCGTCGGGGCTAATTGCACAGAAGTCCCCAATTGGCATTCAATCTCACCCCGTGCTGCCAACATCGGGACCCCGGTGCTCCCAGAGCTGCGTGCGACACGCGATGCCATGCGAGCGGATGGCATGTCGCTCCGCTGCGAAAGGGGCGGGAAGCTTGGGAAGGCTCGGGACGTCGACGCTTGGGGGCCAGGAAGTGGACAGCCTGTCGTGCCGGAGCGTGGTGGGCCGAGACTTGCGGACCGACACGCTATCCAAAAGCTCCCAGCCTCAGAGATCCGCACGTCGGAGGGAGATCATCGTGCCCATGCGAAGCCACCTGCTGTCCAGCACATCGTGGGTGATGGCTGGCGGCGTGGCCTCCTCGGCACGCTGGTCTCTTGGTTCCTCTCCCCGCCGGAGGGATGGTCCCAGTGGGGTCTGGGGCGACGCGGGCAGTGCAATGCCAAAGTGGTCACCACGGGGGAGGGGGTCGCCACTTTTGGGTCAACGGCATCTTCTGGAGCCTCCCAGGAAGACCCCACACGCCCAAACATCTCCTCGAGCCTCGATCCTGGAAACCCGATTCCCAGGATCTGATGCGATGCGACCACCGTTGCGGCCAGGGCCCGGGCCTAATGGGAGCAAACGATTAAAAGCAAATTCTGGGGCGGACGGCTAAATTAGCCTGACGAAGACCCAACCAAATGCAACTGCGAATGCCGCATTGTGGGTACCGCGTTCGGTGGTGCTCCCTATGGTGCCACGAACCGTGTGAGGATGTGCCGAATTGGGCGCGGTGGTGACATGCGAACCCTCCCACTGGAGCCCTCGGTGGAGCTCCCCCTATGGAGCCACGAAACGTGTCAGGGGATGTGCCGAATTGGGCGCGTTGGTGCCATGCGAACCCTCCCACTGGAGCCTTCGGCTGGGCCCCTATGGGGCCACGAGCCGTGTGAGGGGTGTGCCTTATTGGGCGCGGTGGTGTCATGCGAACCCTCCCGCTGAAGCCTTCGGTGGAACTCCCTGTAGGGCCACGAGCCGTGTGAGGGGTGTGCCGCATTGGGCGCGGTGGTGCCATGCGAACCCTCCCACTGGAGCCTTCGGTGGAACGCCCCATGTATGGGGCCACGAACCGTGTGAGGACTCCCCGCCCGGGTTCTCAGGGCCAGGTGGGTTGTAGCCAGGGAAGGAGACGGCGGTGACAGCCTTAGCTCGCTATGACTTCTTCATTTTTCGGACGGGCCTCTGCCTTCTTCTTGGCTTTCTCTTCCTCTTCCTGGACCTGTTTCTCGGCGGCAGCAGCAGCCTCCGAGCGCTTGTCAACACGCAGTTCCTGACTCTTGGCCTTCTGTTCAGCCTTTTTTGGCCTTCGCCTCGGCGCGACCATCTGCTTTCCGCATCGCTACTTCAAGCAGCTCCGAGAGCCTCTGATGTTGGGCCCTGGCGGAGTCCTCAAACACCCTCAATCGCCTCGGGATCTCGCAATCGGCCTCCTGCTCCGAAACGCTCGCGACATAGTCGCGAGACGCCTCGGGCAACGGCGGGCAATCAAAGGGACCTGCGCCGGGTGCGGTGGCAGCGGCGATCTGTTCATCGAGCTTCGCTCTCGCCGTGCGTTCCACTGCCTCTTTTCGTTCCTGTTTTTTTGTATAGCCTCCACATCTCTCCACGTCATGTGGTCAGCACAGGCAACGCATTTCCTTTCATCAACTGCGTAGCGAATATCTCGGACGGGTCTGGTACAACGGTCGCAGTCGTGATTCGCAACGTTGTTGCATAGGGAACACCAGAGCCCACCAGTACGCGGCATCCGCACGGCCAGCCTAGGAGTCACCAGTCTTGGAGGCGCCACATAGGGAGCGACGGCCGGAGCCTCTCCGACGTCTGCCCGAGACGCGAGAAGCGTGCTTCTCCAGCTGCTGCTGTACCGCTGCTCTGTCTGCTGTCGATAGTTTCGCTCGCGCTCAGCTTCCAAGCCCTGCATGGTCTGCGTCACCCTGAGCTCGGTGTTCCGAGTATTGGTGGCCACCTTGCGTGCTGTTCGACATGCTGAGCGCTTTCCAGCGCGTCTCCAACCTCTGCAGCAGCGCGAGCATAGCTCCCGCTTGCTGCATGATCAATCGCCTGCTCCTGATGGCGTGCACTGGTCACCTAGCCCTGCGCTTGCTTCGCCAACTCCGCGCTCTCCACCGACGCCCGGTTCACAACGCCATCGGCAACATCACGAGCGCGGCCCCCCATCATGGCCGCCATCTCGCTTTGCAGATCCTCCCAGGAGGCTTCGGCCTCACAGTCGGCGAATTGTGGTGATACCAGTGACGGCTCCTGAGTCAGTGAGGGGGGCGGCCCGAAGTCATACACCCCCGTACGTCCCCCCCGATGAGACTCAGCGGCCGTTCCTCTGGCCCGGCGCGGGATCGACTTGATCGAACATCTTCTCCCGACGTGATGGAGATCGGAGATCGGCTCTTCATCCGAATCGGAGTGGAGCACGCTGGCTTGTGTGACCCCGGTCGGTAAGGGCATTCTCTCTGGGTCGCCCGATCCCTACAATTCGGTGTCTGCCTCCGCCGTCCCCGCGTCGGCCCGCGGGGTGTCCAGGCGACGAGCGCCCTCTGCAAACGAAGACGAGAGATTGAAACTGAGGTTTTGTGGAAAACACGAGCTACAACCTCCGACATAATCATGGGTTTCAGTCTCGAGGATGATATTTTGGATTCTTTTTAAGCCGTGGCATTGGTCATCATTACTTGGTACATCCACCATCGAGGTGGGGAGCACAGCTTCCTCTTCTCGTGGTGAAGCTTTCGGCTGGTCGCCAACATTTTGCATTATCGTCGTGATACCAGGATCCAGATAGATCCTCTTGATCGGCATTTATATGAATTCCATTTTTCATGTAAGATAGGTTTCGAGTTTCTCCTCGGGGTAGATGCACTTGACGCCGTGGCTAGTACTATCTGGTCGACAAATCGATGATAGGTATGTGTAACATCCGTGAGGGGCGCCCGCCCTGGGCGAGGGGAGGGCGCGGACGCGCGACTCTTTCGCCTATCAGAGCACAAACAGCTGCAGTGGTAACATTCATCGCTGCCGGCGACGCCAACCTACGTGAGGAAGAGGCGGCGGCGGCGGCGGCAGCGGAGCACACGAGGGGAGCGTCAGTCATGACTGAATGAATCAGAACGGCGTAAGTCGGCAGCCGAGTCGGGAGAAATCGAATCGGCCGAAATCGGCAAGCTACCAAGCCTCCGCGGGGAAAACGGAATTCGAATCGGAAACCGAAATCGAATAGTAATCAGAAGCCATTGAAAGCGAATCGAATCGAATCGGAAAATCGGAACGCGCCCTGGAAGGGGGGGGGACGTGCGGCGCGCGGCGTCGCGTGCGTCGCGTTCACAGCCCTGGCGGCGCGCCGCAAGTGCGCATGCAGACGTCCCGTTCCACGCAGCACTTGTCCAGCTGGGGCATCTCCTGCGGGCCCCGGGGGGGGAGGGCCTCCCAGCCAATGCCCACGGAAAGGCCCCACTACTGCTCCTGGTTCGCCTAAGCCCTTCATCCTGCTCCTCATCCCCCTCCTGCTCCTCCGTCTTTCGGGGGCCGCAGAAGGCGGCGGGCCCGCCTCCTCCCTTCTCCTTCCCCTCCCTCTTTCCCATCTTCCATCCTCGTTCCTCCCTCCCCCTCCTCCCTCCTCGCTCTTCCTTCTTTCTTCCTCCTCCCTTTTCCTCCTCCTGTCCCTCCTCCTTCCCGTGCGGTCCCTCTGTGGGCGCCCCCCGGTTGTGCCCGACCAGGTTTGACGGGTGTGTGGCCGGGGTCGCTCCGACCTACTGAGCAGGCGGGGGAGGCTTTAGGGTGCGGGCCACCTACCTGCGGGCAGCGGGAGTGGTCCTGGGCCCCGCTAACTCTCGCACTGCGTTTCGCACGCACTGGTCGAGGCGGTGCCAGGGCCCCTGGTTTCAGAGAGACGGGAAGTTTTGGGCGGCGCGCGCGGCGTCGTGATCTGAGTGGTGGGAGTACTGCGTGCCGCTGCCTCTGCCTGCTGCCACTTAATCTCCCTCCCTGGCACTGTGTCGCCCCAGGCCTCCGTTGCTGTCGGCGGCTTCGTGTGCTCATTTAGCGCCGCGGGACATTGTCATAGGAGGTAGTGATGAAAGAACTCTCCGATGGCCCAAGCGCCCTGGTTTGTCCCAGGTTCCCTGCCCAGGCACCGTCCCTGTGGATAAGTACTTCCATGCTCGGCGCTGGTCTTCACAGCTTACACCATCGGTTGAATGTCGTCGAATGCTTTATCGAAAGAACACAGCATCCGCGTTCATGCCGCCGTCCCACCACGCCTCCTCCACCCTCCTCCCTCCTCCGCCGCTTTCTCCTCCTCCTCCCTTTTCAAATATACTACTCCTCCGCCTTCATTCCCTCCTGTCCTCATTCCTCCCTTCCTGCAAACAAGGCCGAGGCTCCCCGGGACCCCGGCTGGCGAAGGAAGGCCCCCCCCTTTTCGCGCCCCGCGCGTCGTCGAGATCCGCGAGCCCACTCTGGACAAAGAGCGGGGCAGTTCCAAGAGACGCCGCCGCAAACCTGCGGGGTGCCCTGAGAGAGCCACGGTGCAAACGAAAACGTTAACATAATACTTTGCTGGAAGCAGGTGGGAGCACGACGAATTACTTTGCTTCGAGCGATTCCCACCGAAACCTTCGGCGTTTGGTCCCAACGGCGCGCGCGCCCACTGGAATGACGCGCGCAGTGCCCCGCGGCGTCGGCCAGCAGCTTTCCCCGAACCTAAGACCAAGAAAAAGGGGGGGGGCCTTTGCCCCCTTCTGGGCGATCCGGGCGACCCGAACCTCGGGCCCCCGCAAAATCGGTCGGGAAGGGGGGGCGGGGGGAGGAAATGCATTCAAAATCTGTCCCTGGACCCCTCCCGGGGTCCCTCCGACGCAGTTTTTCGCCCCGAAGAGGAGGAGGATGGGGAGGTGGAGTGGCGCGTCGATGGTTGTGGGGTGAAGCTGGACAGACAACGAAGTGGACCTTCCAATGAAAGACAGAATGCGTTTCACTGGCGCTTCCCTTTGGAACGTTCGGCGGCGCGTTTCGAACGGGGGGGGGCCCGCCCGACGCTCCTGAGGCAACTGACGGCACTTGAACGACAATACTGATTACAACTCTATGTTTAAACGGCGCTGGTCTCTACTCAATCAAACACAGCATGTATTGCACTCGCAAGTGTGGAGTTGTAGTGAGTTAAGAGCAACAACAAATGTACATGGAAGGCATGTTCTGTATCATACAGATTGCACATCAAGTGTACATATGTGTACATATGTTGTTAGTGGGAGGTTATGGCGCTTGGAACTTATGGAACTTATGGACTTTCTAGATTTAGATGACTAATTACCTGTTGCTGCGTTGTTCCCTACCTAGGCTCTGCCTAGAAGGGTTCTTACTCTCTTAGCTTAAAGGGGCCGGGCAGTGCAAAACGCCCCGGGCGGTTCCCCCAGTCCCTTGGGAGCGGTTCCCCCCAGTCCCCTGGGAGCTTTAGCTTTAGCTTTAGCTTAGCTTTAGCTTAGCTTTAGCTTAGCGTTTCGCTTAGCTTTTCGCTTAGCGTTTAGCTTAGCTGTAGCTTAGTTTTAGCTTAGCTTAAGCTTAGCTTCAGCTTAGCTTGGGCTTAGCTTTAGCTTAGCTGTAGCTTAGCTGTAGCTTAGCTTTACCTTAGCTGTGGCTCAGCTTTAGCTTAGCTTTAGCTTAGCTTTAGCTTAGCCTTAGCTTAGCTTTAGCTTAGCTTTAGCTTAGCTTTAGCCTAACTTTAGATTCACTTTCGTTTAGCTGTGGCTTAGCTTTAGCTTAGCGGTAGCTTAGCTTTAGCTTAGCTTTAGCTTAGCGTTACTGTTACTACTAATGCTGCTTTCCTAGGGGTTCCAACTCCTAGGTAGGGTCGCACTGGGGTAATTGTTTGTTATCGTTTTTGTTGTTCCCTACTTAGGCTCTGCTTAGAAGGGTTCCTACTCTGTTGGCTTAGAGGGGCCGGGCAGTGCAAACCGCCCCGGGCGGTTCCCCCAGTCCCCTGGGAGCCAAGCGAAAGCAACGGCAAAGGTAAAAGCAAACGCGCGGTTTCCCCAGTTGCGCTCCCTGGATGCCAAGCAAAAGCAAAAGAAACGGCAAACGTGAAGGCAAACAAGAAGGCAAAGCAACAGCATAGCATAGCACAGCACCGCATAGCATAGCATAGCATCGCGCAGCAGCATCGCATAGCGCAGCACAGCATGGCATAGCATCGCCTAGCGTAGCCTAGCCCAGCATAGCATTGCGCAGCATAGCATAGCATAGCAGACCAGACCAGAGCACAACATAGCATATCATAGCGAAGCACAGCATCCACAATCGACTTGCTGCCTGCTTCTGCTGCTGCTTCACTTACGGCGTGGCGTCGGCGGTTCTGGCGCTACTACTACTACTACTACTACTACTACTACTACTACTACTACTACTACTACTACTACTACTACTACTACTACTACTACTACTACTACTACTACTACTACTACTACTACTACTACTACTACTACTACTACTACTACTACTACTACTACTACTACGACGACGACGACGACGACGACGACGACGACGACGACGACGACGACGACGACGACGACGACGACGACGACGACGACGACGACGACGACGACGACGACTACTACTACTACTACTACTACTACCGCTACTGCTACACATACGACGATGCGGAGAAGGAAGAGGACGGCGTTTACCGCTCCTACGAATGTTGTTTTCCTAGGGGCTCCAACTCCTAGGTAGGGTCGCACTGGGATATGTTCTTCTTCTATAAAGTGTGTTCGGTGTTTCTGATTCAAAACAAAAAAACGGAAGACTGCTCGGCGGAGGGAAAAGGAAACTGAAGGAAATTGGAAGAGGTGGAGGTGGAGGCGTATACCGTTAGCTTTAGCGGAAGACCGCTGCGCCGCGGACGGCGAAAGTTGCTGGCGGTCTCGTTGTTGTCGAGCCGCAGCAGGCGGGCTGACGGGCTGGCGGTGGGCGCCTTCGTCGTCGTCGTAGTCGCCGTCGTCGTCGGTCGGAGGACCAGCCTGGCAGCCATGGGGCCCGCGACCCCATGGCCCCCCCGCGCTAGGCTATGCCACCGCGGGCCAAGGCCCGCGACCTTGGCCGCGGCGCGTCGTCGTCGTCGTCGTCGTCGTCGTCGTCTTCGCCGTCGTCATCGCTGAAGCCGCGCCCCCGGCTAGCACGAACCCGCGCTCGACGGTCTCGTAGGACTTGTCCGTCTCGCGGGAGCTCTCGTTAACCCTCTGGTCGTCGTAATCGACCCACTTGGACTCGTCGTAGCTCTCCCGCATCGCCTGGCCGGCGCCCCCCTTGCCGCTCGAGCTCGCACCCCTCGACTTCTCGACAAATGCTCGCTGCTTCTCGTAGGCTTTCTAGAACTGCTCGTTCTTGATGGCCTCGTCGTCGCGACCGATCGCGAGCTGGTTGGCGCGCTTCAGGTGGTCGTCGCCCTCGTAGCTGTCGCGCTCGGTCGCGATCGGCTGCTTCTCGCGGTCGCAGCTGATCGTCGAGTCGGGCGTCGGCCACAGCGCAGCAACGCGCAAGGCCCAAGACTCGTTGATGGCCCAGTTGTCAGGCAGTCGAGGCGGGAGCTCTCCTCGAGCTTGTCCCCGTGGGCGCCGCGGAGCACGAGCGTCGCCGCGTCGTTGGGGCCGAACGCGGCGCGCAAGGTCGACGCCTCGGCGACGGGGGTCTTCTTCGCGCTCATCGCGTCGGGGAACCGGCCGAAGTCACCGCGGAAGCTGGGCGGGAAGTAGAACGGCACCCACGTCCTCCAATCCCCCATCCAGACATGGCGCTGCGCCCTCGGCACACCGTTGACCACGGCGATAACTTCCTTCCCAGCCATCTCGGCGTCGGGCGGGGCGCGTCGGGCAGGGCGCGCCCAGCAGGGCCGCGCGGGGCGTCGGGCAGGGCGCGTCGGGCAGGGCGCCCAGAGCGCCCCTTCGAATGCTCGAGGAGCAATGGCTAGAGACGAAGGCCACCCAGAAGGGGTTGGGCGCGCGCGGGCTGCGAACCGGAATGGTGCCCTCGCTCGGAGACCTCATCGCAATTTAACAACGTCGGCGGGAATGGTGCTCCCGCTTGGAGACCCCCCCCACACACACAACTTACCCCCCTTCGCTCGGAGACCTCCTCATAATTAACCTTCTCGATGGGGGGGGGAGGGGGGGGGGTGCGAGGCGGATGATGGTGGATGGTTGTTCTGGTGGCAAGGAAGCAGCTGCCCTAGCGCAGCGCAATGCACTCGCCCCTGCCACCCAGGTACCAAGCGTTTACCTCGTGGGTCTGGTGGACGCCAACGGCCGCCAGTGCCCTCGACAATCTACATCTGGCACTCGAGGCGGTCCTGCCACCCATCGCGCCCATCAGCCTCGAAATCAGCGCGCGCGGGTTCGCCTCCAATG